ATTCCAGGGCTGAGGTCCCCTGGTGCTGGATCGGTCTCTGGTGATGGCGGAATCTAACGCACACGTGTAGCAAGCGCCATGCGCATTGGATCTTCCCCGTAGCAAACCATGGAATCAATGCTGGGAGACAGTCACTAAAGGTTGTCTTAATCCTGTAATATAAACATTGCAGTTTCTCTGAAACTACAGTGCTTTACATTGCAGGGTTAAGGGGACAGGGATACTGCACCCAGACAGCCTCAATGAGCTGAAGTAGTCTTGGTGCCAATAGTGTCCTATTAAGCAGTAAAACATCCTAAATGATATCCAATCCTTTAAGAATCTATGGCACTGTTTAAATGCCACTTTTTATATTAAATCCTAGCTCTCGACTTGTGTTATGGGAAATGTATTTCACAAACATCTGAAATGCTAAGCTTGCTCACTGTTGAAGGGTTAACAGATGTCATCTTTATGGGCTTTGTTATTACAGGAATAAAAAAATGTGTACTTAAAGCAGGATTTGACAGTCTTTCAGGCGCCGTGGTGTATAGCTTTGTTTACCTGTCCATCATTACTGATTGTCATCATTTAATGTACATAGATGCAAACGTCACTTACAACATTAACAGCTACACACAGACAATGTTGAATATAATTTTAAATCAAAACTGGAGTTTTATATATTTAAATAAAATATGGTTTGTGCAGTATTGAGGCTTTTAAAGGTTTCTGTGTTTAGTACAATTGTTAATGCACACAAATCTTTACTATTTTGTATTGTTTGAACAGTGCCAAAGTGTATCACTGCTTCTGTTTGCGCACTGTCAGTGTCACTGGATGCATGTAATTGGTCAGGTATATGCACATCTGTGTGTCTGTGTATTGTGTGTTATGCTCACATTGTCTGTTTGTGTGTCTGTGTATGGTTTGTGTGTTATGCTCACATTGTCTGTTTGTGTGTCTGTGTCTTGTTTGTGTGCTATGCTCACGTTGTCTGTTTGTGTGGATGTTGGTGTTCCTGTGTGAGTTCAACATGTGTGTGAGCTTCATAGAAGTCAAAGCGAACCTGTTTTAGGTGTTTTTAGTAAATGAACCAAGTCTATCTCCCCCCATTGTTTTGTACTTCGCGGTGGAATACATACACTCAGTAAACACATGTGAGTGATGGAGCCTCCCTGCCGTTTGTGATTCTGCTCACAATTGGTGTTTGCAGAGAGAATTCCTTCCGTGCAGAGAGCTGCCTCGCACACACCCACTAACTAAAAATAAACAAAGCTTTAAAGGAATACGCCACCCACTCGAGCACGAGTGGCTGACTGAGTAGGATTGTCCCCAGGTAATAAAATAACCGTGGGAAAAGTGAACCCGCGCTGTGCTGACTTGTACATTTCTAAAACCATTCAATCCCCTTCCCTCACGGCAAGAGAGCCTGCAAGACAAATGCTGCAGGCCACGCTTGCGTTTTAACTAGTCGAAAGCTGGTAAACAGGCGGGTGCCTCTTGTACCCCTCTGTATCCGTGTGCCATGTTACCATGCCTCCACCTTAGGGGTTAAACTCTTTGAATGTCGAACATTGCCTGATCTTTTGGTTCTGAAGGGGTTAAACAAAAAATGCATCAGGGCACCGTGCGGCTTTTGGCTCGATCTGCCTGACTGTTGGAAATTCTCATCTCTGCTACTTACGTGGCACCTGTGGCGAACCAAGTGGAAAGTGCAAAAAAAAAATATAATCTATTACCGTGTTTCTGCACTGCATTCATTCAGGATTCCACACATGGAAACCCTACATAACTTAGCAAACACACATCATAAAATAAGCACGTGAATCGTATATATATAATGTACCAATGACAGGGATAGACCACGTTCTAACAGTGTGTGCTCCCAATTCCCTGAAAGAGCCACGTTCAATCTTTAGTAAGCTTTATGGTTAGGCGTGTTATGGGGGAAAACTTCTGTTTCTCAATGTTTTGAGTGTAAAAAGGGACTAATGGGGGACATTTTATTAGGGTTACCTTTTAAGGAAAAACTATCAAGATGTTTTTATTATTGTATTTTTTAAGGATGACACGAACTACCATCTGTGAGCGTCATTTTGTAATGCAGACACATATTGAGGGTGTCTCCTGGTTTACACTCACTACTTGGAGACAGCCATCTTTAAGTCCTCTGTGGTCGGAATCAGGGCTTATTCTATCAAAGACTACGCCGGTTATCAAGAGCTTGCGCGTGTTTCCAAATCCTGTTGTCTGGTGCAAATGTCAGGCATCTAAAAAGTGTCCTCTTAGTTCCTGTGTATTACAGTAACAGCTAAATAATAAGAGTTCTGGTAACCAAAACCTATTGAAACCAGAGCAACAATTGGGTCTTCTTTAAACTCTTGTGTCACTGCACACATGGAGTTTTTGTGTCATTAAACTAAACTGTTATTGTACATATCAGTGCACCATCCCAGCATTCACTGAGGATTCAGAATGGGGTGGGACATAATTATAGAAAATATTTCATGTTGGCTTTTTTTGTTTAGTGTCCTTGGACCTCTACGTGGCAATTTGTACCAGTGGCGGATTAAGGTGGGTGGGGGGGGGCAACAGGGCAATTGCCACCCCCGAGATTCTCCCCTGCCGGCTAATGCAGGGCTGACATTTTCCAAGTGCCAGCCTTGCTATGTGCCTTCACAGACCAGAGGGGAGATCAGAGATCTCCCTCCCTGGTCCACAGGCACCATGCAGGCAGCCGGCATGGAGAGAGAAGGGAGAGAGGACCTGGGAGCTCAGCCTGCAGCTCCGCCGGGCCCTTCTCTCGTGAGCACGGAGCATTGCAGCAGTTATCAGTCCATGGAAACACTCCGGATCTCGCGAGAGTGAACTCTAGCCCTGGAGCTACGGGC